TCCACACCTGGCCCAGGTAGGGCGTTTCAGCCCCTGCCCCATGCTAGTTTCACGGAGGCTGGAGTGGAGGCTGCTGGGAACCTAGGAGATTGTGCTGCAGAAGAGGTGCCAGCCCAGCTGTGCCTAGGGAGCTGGCACCAGTAAGGATGGGGGTATTTGGGCCAGGGTGGTGACTGGAATTCTGCAGGACTCCCAGGCAGGAAAGGACGCCCCCCCTGCCTGGCTTCCTTGCATCTTGCTCAGTGCCTGCCTGCCGGGACAGAATGGGGCTTCCCCTGGCTTCTCAATCATGGGGTCCCTCCTGGGCACTTGTGGGTAGGCCTTGCAGCCCCAAGTCCCTGGGCAGCTCCCGGCATGGCTGGTGCCTCCTCCCCCGGCCCACCAGGTGCCTGGGGGAGCAGTGCCCCTGCTGGGCTTCTCTGCTGCTAATTACCAGCGTGGGACGGCTTTATGGCCATCGGGAGCCCCCACATCTGGTCAATTACCGCTGCATCTGTAATTCGGATGACATACAGCCCAGCCAGCCTTCCAAGGCAGGCGATTAGAGGCTCCTCTGCCCCACCGTTTCGAGCTGGGGCCTTCGTTATTTCTCGGGATTGATAGGCCCTGGCTGTGACCTTTGCTGGGACAAGAAGTATCGTAGGAACATTCTGTATTTCCCGACTTCGAGGGCTGCATAAATCTCCCAGCGACACCGGCAGGCGGGTTATTAACTGGAGCCTTTCGGGGGGGGGGGCTGTGCTGTCCCACATCGGGGCGCCTCTGGCTCTGCAGGGTGAAAGCAGAAGGCGGGGTGCATGCAGGAGGGGCCAGCACCCCGGGAGCCCTCCTCCTGTCACCAGTTACCGCTGCTTTGCCCTCCCTGCCCTTCTTAGGGCTCAGGCCTTGCCCAAACCTGCCCCTACCCAAGCAGTGCTGGCAGGCACTGTACCCCGGATTTCTCACCTCCAGCCTGGGAAACCCGGGGTGCCATCTGAGAGCCTGCTGGAGTGGGGTCTGTGGGCTCCGGAGCAGCAGGGCCTGTGTGTCAGTGGCCCCAGTGCGTGGAGCGCACCACGCAGCCTGGGGCCCTGGGTGGGGTGGGCGGTGCTTGGGCCTGTCTCCGGAGGAGCCATGGGCTGCACCTGGTGTGTAGTTTCCCTGGCATCTCTGGAATCTGCCTGGCATTTGCCAATTCTCCAAGGAATAACATTTACGGAGTATGGCATGTGAGCCTGTGAGTGAGTGTGACATCCAGTGTGTGAATGTGTGAGTGTGACAGTGTGCATATGAGAGGCCAGGAGTGTGCACGTGTGAACATGTGCGTGTGAGAACATGTGTGCGTGTGAGACGAGTGGCATCAGGAGCTCGGGTGGATGCAGTCTGCTGGCCTGGGTAGAGATGCTGCCAGGGCTCAGGCTGGCTCACCTGGCCCCTCTGTCTGCCTCCTGGGCCTAGGCCCCGGCCGGGAAAGGGGCCCTGGCGCCCCGAAGGTGGCAGTAGGCCAAGGGGGCCGTCAAGTGTGCCATGCCTGGTGCCGACACTCTGGGAGGGGACCAGACGGCTCTGCCTCCTGGGACAGACCCTTGCCCTGGCACTCAAGGGGCTGTGTCCTCAGGGCCGCTGCTTTCCCGCCCACCCCAGGGAGCCTGGGCGGAGCGTGGGTGTTATCACTAGAGTCTATATGCATCGGCATATCAGAATTGGGGGTGCTCTTGTGATGGTGCAGACAAAACCCCACCCTCCAGGAGTGGGCCTTCCGGCACAGTGCTGTCCACTGGGCACTTCTTGGTGGCAGAGGTTCCGGACTGGCGCTGCCCACACAGGTACCGCTGGCACACGTGGCTGCCCAGCACACAGCGTGGCTAGGCGGCCGTGGAGCAGACATGTCCCCTCCCTTCACTTGAGGACAGTCGGTCTGGGCCCTGTGCTCGAATGGAAGCCATCTGGGTCAGTAGGTGTCCCACAGTCTTGTTCCCTGCCCTGTCTGCGTCGCAGGCTCCTCTGTGTGCGTGTGGAGGGCTGCCTGGAACTTCTGGGGGTGGAGGAAGCAGGAACATTTTTGATCGGAGCCCCGTCTGCTTAGACGTTGCAGATCCAAAAATATTCCAGAGGACACAGCTGCTGTAGAGACCTTCTCTCTGTTCTTCCTTCCTTTTTTTTTTCTTTGTGGTGCTGGGAATGGAACCCAAAGGCCTTGTGCATGCTAAACAAGTGCTCAACCACTGAGCTGCATCCCCAGCCCTCTCAGGGACCTTCTGTAGTGTTGTAGTTTTTATGTTTAAGTTCCTGCTCAGCGTGTGGCATTTCTGGGGCTCCCCCTGTTGAAGGGGTCCAAGTCACAGAACCTCTCCCCACCCAGTCAGGGCATGGCAGGGGCACCCAGCTCCCAGGCCAGGTCCCAGGCTTGCCTGGCACAGAGACCCAGCTGTTAGGAGAGGCTTTGCGCTCCGGAAGCGTCGCCTTTGATCAGTAGGTGAGGAAGCCGCCTCTGAAGGGGGTTCCCAGACACCCCGGCAGGCTGCATCTCTCTGCCTAGGTCCCTCCTCCCTCTGCTCGGCCAGCCTGGGGGCCCTGATTGTATCGGTGTCTGTGTTACCCCACCACTGGGAGTCGGAAGGAAGGTGGCATCATCATCTCCAGTCCTTTGGTTTTGCAGCAGCCCAGAGACCACAGCTTCCCGGAAGCCACACAGCTGCGTGGCCAGTCCTGGAGCTGGGAGTGACCTTGGGTGTCCTGGTCTAGTGCGTCACGGTGGGGCTGCTGCTGTCACCAACCTGAACAAAGCTGTTTTCTGCAACCTTTTTTTGGGGGGGTGCCAAAGATCGAACTCGGGACCTTGTGCTTGCGAGGCAGGCGGTGGAACCACTGAGCTAAATCGCCTGCCACGAACCTGTTTTCACTGTGGGCAGCCGGCTGGAGGGACAAGCTGTAGGTGGGAAATGCCCACCCTGCCCTCGGTGGGTATGTGCCTGGCCTGGCTGGGGCTCAGCACAAGCTCTGGCTCAATACCAACCTTCCCCAGCCTCAGTTTTCTGATCTGTAAAATGGGTGGCTAGTGGCTGTGTCAAAGGTGAAGGAGAAAAATCCCTGGCAGTGCCCGGGCCTGGGCTTGCTGCACCGGCGCCCTGGGGAGCGGTATCCAGCATCTCAGGCCCCTCCTGAGCCAGCCAGCCAGGCTGGGGTGCTGGCTGTCCAGGTCTTGGCATCACCTTGTAGCTTGCTCCAGCCAGAGGACAGAGCGGCTTCTGTCCCATGTGGGGCCCCGAGATGCCTGCTCTTTGGCTGCTGCCGTGAGGCCAGCTGCCTTGATTTCCCCTCCCAAGGGTCTGATGTCATCACTCGGGCAGGCCAGAGGCTGATCGCCCTCCTCTGCCTGGCCCCCTTCCGCACCCTGCCTGCTCCCCTCAGCCCCTGCCCTGTGCCAGCGCCGCCTGTGTGAATGTCTAATCTCCAATTTTATTCGCTGGGCTCCAGCCCATTTGCATAATCCACATAGTCACCCTGGTTTTAATTGCCCACAACTCTGCAGAAAGATCATGTGGTTAAGTGGTAAATCATAATTAGATAAATAATTGGTTTGGCCACAGCAAGCTGCTTTTGTCACACCTGCCATCTGCTGGACCCGGCTTTTCTTCTGGCCAGAACAATGTGGTTCTGATGAGAGAGCACGCTGCTTCTCTCGCGGGGGGTGCGGGGGGAGCCGAGTGCAGGGCTCGGAAGCAGAGCCTGGGAAATTGCCCAGTTGCTGGGGTCTCTCTCTGAGCAGGCGCACCCCACACCCCTGTTCACCGCCCGGCTCGGTTAATGCATCTGAGTGGCACATCTGACTCCTCTGCAGAGAAGGGAGGAAGGAGGGCCGGCCAGGGCTGCCAGGTGCCTGCCCGGGGCTGGCTGGGGGCCTCGCGGACCAGGGCTGAGGTGGCAGTGCAGGGCCTGGGCCGGCTCCCTTGGGGCTGGCGGGGCACAGGCAGGGCTTGGAACCACAGACCTCCCTGCCCGCGCGGTCAGCTTCTCCATCTGCTCCTGCTGAAGGCCCCTTTCTTTTCCACACTGCAGGCCCATCTGTGAGCCCAGGAGGCTGCAGGGAGCTGCGGGTCCTGGCCGGCCGGGTGGCCTGGCTAGGCCTTCCTGGGGCTGCCTGCATCCTGCTGCACCCCCAGGGAGGCTTCCCAGCCCGCCAGGGGTCTCCAGTGGCCCTCACCCCCGCATTCACCCCTTCAGCATCTCCCTGCGTTACTATGGCAGCTCTAGAAGCCTTCCTGTGGGTCAGGCCTTTGTGGGGCGACATGAGCATGTTTCTCCTCACTCAGAGCCAGTTTCTCCACCTGTAGAAGGGGACACATTACTGTCCCTGTGAGTGGGCCTGTTAAGAAGACCACAGGACGGACTGGGGGGGGGACGCCAGGACCAAATGCAGGCTCCACGCCTCCCGTGGCCGGGGTGCGCGGCTGCCAATGTCGACAGCTCCTGGGCTGCCATGGGTGCTGTGGAAGCACCCAAAAGGTATTTGGAAGGGAGCCGGTGGGGAGGAGAGGAAGGGCAGCTCAGGGCCACACAGGCCCAGGCTCCTGACCCATATCCAAGTTTCTGCTGAGGACAGACACACAGAGGCCCTGCCACCGCACCTGCTCCCCTCCCAGACCAGACCGCCTTACACGCTGCCCTGTGGGCCTTGGTGATGTGGGCCTTCAAGCATCTGCACCTTGGATGCCCAGGGGACATCCTTTCTCTCTGGGTTCCAGGTTCGCTTGTGCAGCTCGGCAGAAGGCAGCCTGAGAGCTGCTAGAGCCCTGGGCTGGGTCCAGCCAGGGCACGCAGCAGCCTCCCCCAGCCTTCCTGAGCAGAAGCGCTGTGTGTCCCCTCCCAGAAACCCGCCCGTCCCCGTGGTGAGCCTCTGGGACATCCACGTCGCTGGGGCTTTGGGATATTAGGTATTTTCTGTGTTTTTCCATCTGTCATCCATCTGTCCACTCATCCATGCAACTCCCTGCATTCCTTCCCTCCACCACCCTTCTTTCCTTCCTTTCTCCTCCATCATCCCTCTTCCTTGCATGTATGAAGATACCCATCCATTCATCCATCCACCCATTCATCACTTACCCATCCGTCCACCTATCCATCCGTCCATCCGTCTTCCATCCATCATCTCTCCCTCCCTCCATTTATTTGTCCCTGCAGCCACCCACTCACCCATTCATCACACACCCATCACCCACCTATCTACCCATCCATCCATCCTCCAGCCAGCCAGCCATAGTCCCTCCTTCCCTGCCTCCCTCCCTCCATTCATCCAGCTATCCATGTCTATCCATAGTTCCCGTGCCTTGTCTAAAGGTGAACTGTTGCACTGCAGGACTTGGCGGCCTCCCGATGCAGGAAGGGTGCCTTTGAGTGGCCGCCCGGAGGGGAGGAGACTTGGCTAACCTCACCTGCAGAGTCTGGCAGGTGACTTGGGAAATGAGGCCTTAAGACAGTCCCGGAGAGGAGCATTCCTGGACATATGTAGTGTTCCTCTTCCCAAGACACTCACTGGTGGCAGCTGGCCGACCACACTCACCCTGGCTGTGCTCTGGATTCTTCCCGAGAGGCCTGGTCCCAAATGTTCCGCTGTGTTTTCTCCATAAGGCCACATCCACCCCCCAGACCAGACACCTCAAACCTCAGCCCAGAGAATGTGGTTGTTTTTAGATTCTAATGTTGCACGGTCTGATGCGATACCCCTGGCTGTGTGTGGTTGTTCAAATGTAATTTTTATAGTTAAACATTAAAGATTCAGTTCCTCATTCATCCTGGCCACACGTCAAGTGCATGGCTCCTGGTTCCAGTGCCCGTGGGGACTCGATTGGCAGCTCGGTTGGAGAACAGCCCTTTACTGTAGGAAGCCCTACCGCACGGGCTGTTGGGAATTTAGTTTGCTGGACCCTGCATGAGTGAAGTCCGGCTGCCCTCAGCCACCATTGGCCCCTGGGCGGGTCTTTCCGCGCTCTCCCAATCGGGGCCTGGGGCCTGAGCTGGATTCAGAGTTGAATTTTCACCTTGCCTGTGCTGCTTTGTGACCTGGCTTTCTCTGTGAACTTCTCTGGCCCATAGAGATGGTGCTGAGAGATGTGGTTCCTCCCATCTGGATGCCAGGCACCATCAGGGGAGGTTGGTTCTGTCTGGAGAACAGTCTTAGGCCAGCCGTCAGGGCACACGCCTGTAGTCCCAGCACTCAGGAGGCTGAAGCAGGAGGATCACTACGAGCTCGAGGCCAGCCTGGGCCACACAGTGAGCTCCTGGCCAGTCCGAACTGCATGGCAGGACCCTGCCTCAAACAAAACAAAGCAGTCTGCTGGGAGAAGCTTCTGTCTCTCTCCGTCTTTCACTCCCCCGCCCGAGCTCCTTTACTCCTCTCTCTGAAGAGCTCGAGAAAGACGGCCCGGAAGGTTCTGGCAGCTGCCTCCTGGCCCTGTGGGCCCGTCCCAGGCCCCGGCTGGCCTGTCTGTGGGCGTCAACTTTCCCAGGCACCCCCAGTAGCCACCTCTGTGCTGTCTGTCCCCACGCAGTGCACATGAAAGCGCTCGTGGGCCCTCCTGATACTGCTGGCGCGGAGTCCACACTCCAGACACTGAGCAGGGACAGCTGCCTCCTGTCGGACCCCAGCCCCCCGGGCCAGCTCCGAAGTGTCCCTGAGTGTGTATGGAGGGCGCCTGGCTGGGGCTGCTGGCTCAGCTGCGTGGCTTCAAGGCATGGTCCCCTTGTCCACTTTGCAGTCCCTGATTGAGTCCATGTGGCCCCGGGGACATGGGGTTGGTGACAAAGCCCGTGGGCCCTCACCAGGAGCCTTGTCACCCGGGGATCCACAGCACCTCTGGGCCCGCCACACTCCCTCCCGCCCCCCCTTAATTATTTTTCCTGGATGCTGTGAATTGAATCTCCCAGTAATCGAAGGAGACATCTCTGGGTAAGGCCTGCTCACATCTCCGGGCACCGATAGAAGTTGTTAAATGAATAATGTTGACTTACACTGGGGACCCAATTCTCTCTGAATATAATTCCCTTTCCAGTTACCAGGCGCTTCCTGGAGAAATCATAAAAATAATAAACATGTCTCCATATCAGAGGCTTGCAATGCTGCCTCGAATTCTTTTGAGGAGGGAGTCAGGGAAGAAGAAATAATTTGAAATTAATTCTTAAAAGAGGAAAAGAAAAAGAGGATCACATTGTGAGTCAGGCAACAGAGCAAGCTGTTGTCCTAGGATGAGAACCCTGGCGGCCCTGGGAGTGGGTGGGGTGGGTGCAGGTGGCACAGGAACCCACACTGTGGGTCCGCCGGGCGGTTCTCACTGTTGGAACCTGGGCACCGGGCTCCCAGAGGGCAGAGGGGCCTGAGACCTGCTTGCTGCCCAGCCTTGCTGTTGTCAGGGCCCAACCTGCCCTCTCTCCTGCCGGAGGGGAAGGGAGAGACCCCGTCAGCTCATCTGTGATGCTCGGGCTTGTCACCTGGTACAGGTGAGGGAGTTATCCAGCCATGGGCAAGCTCCACGACTCACCGCCCTAGGCCTGGTGAGGGCCCTCGTGCAGCCCAAGTCTGGGCGGCTGCCCTTGGCTCTCTGGATCCCAAAGGCGGCCTCAGGCGTTCGTAGCGTGAGGACACCAGGCGCAGGTGAACAGCACCTTCCTCAGCCTCCAAGGTGCTCCCTTGGGGTGCGAATGGAGTGCCCAGAGCATGGCGGGGACTTCCCAAGGTCACAGACAGCCTGCTGGCAGAGCTAGGAATAGAACTCTGAGCTGGGCTCTGCTCAATGGAGCTCAAATTGCTAGACAGGCAGGTCTGTGCGGAGTGTGGGGGGGCTCCTGGATGTGGGCCACAGGGAGGGGCTGGGAGCTGTCATCGCCTGACAGCCATGGCTGGGCCCAGGGCGTCCTCCGGGCCGCTGTCGCTCCCGGGAGAGGAGAGCATCTTGAACCGCAGGCGAGAGGTTGGTGCCGAGAGGCGACAGCCGAGCGGGGAGCTGTGAAGGCCGTTGTCACGTTGGGAGCATCTGGGAGCCTGCGGAAAAACACCAAGACCAGCGTTTGTTTTCCTGGTGGCTCAGCAATGCATGCACCCGAGCTCTTGCGTGTGAGGCAGACGCGGGCCTCAGGGCTGGGAGACGGCACTGGCGCTGGCCGCCTGGAGGGGGCGCTGTGCTCCGGGGACTTGGTCAGCCGCCGCTGCCGGCCTGTGCCCTGCTGGAACCCTGGGGTTCCAGGTGGCAGCTGATGAGTTCAGGGCTTGCAGGGACCTTTTCTCCTCGCTGGAGTCACCTCCCTTGCCAGCTGGGAAGGCTCCCTGGAGGAGGCCGGCGTCCCTCAGCCTGGCTTTCAGGGGAGGGGACACAGGAGGTGGAAGGCCAGGGAGGCCTGGACGGAGCAGACAGAAGGTGCCCAAGCCTGGCAGGCTGAGGAGGGGAGTCTGTCTGGGAGAGTGAGTGGTGCTGTCCCAGGAACTGACCGAGGGGCGTGCCGTCAGGATGACAGGTTCCAGGCCTCCCAAGCCTGGTGTGCAGTGCAGTCCCCGATGGGAGGCAGGACCAGATGTCTCAAGGATGCACAGGGGCTGGTCAGGGAACCCAGCACATGGGTAGACCAGGTCCGGCACCACCGCGTGGCCCAGGGTGGCCTTGAACTCACAGCGATCCTCCTGCCTCAGCCTCCAAAGTGCTACGATTACAGGCATGCACCACCACACTCAGCATGACTTTCAAACCTAACCTTCTCCCTTCGAGGATTTCATCTTGCAAGAGCAGATTATAGACGTAAATGCAGCCAGGATTGGTGGCACACACTTGTGATCCCAGCCCTTTGGGAGGCTGAAGCAAGAGGATCTCAATTTTGAGCCGAGCCTGGGTCATGCAGGGACTTGGTGCCTACATTTTCTTTCTTTTTTTTTTTTTTTTGGTACCGGGGATCGAAGTCGGATCCTTGAGCTTGTGAGGTAGGCTGTGGAACCACTGAGCTAAATCCCCAGCTCTATATTTTTAAATTTTTTAAAGGTGCTGGGAATGTAGCTCAGGTTGGAGGCCATGGGTTCAATTCCCAGTTGTGGGAAAAAAAGAAAAGACAAATATAAGCCAGCCAGAGGCAAATGTTCCTCACAGGGGTTGAGAGCTGCCAGAGGCCTTGACCCTGTTGTCCCCTCCGCCTCTTTTGCTTGGGGCAGCCAGCTCCTGGGGACCGCAGGAACCTGTCTGTGTGTGTTGCCTGTGAATCTGCAAGCAAGAAAGGCAACTGGGCCGATTGTCCAGGTGACAGTTTGGGACTCGAGAGACAGGCAGTAGGTGATTCATCCAGACATTTATGGGGAGCAGGAGGGGTGTTGGGTGAGCACAGAAGGAACAGTTCTACTGTGCTGAGTCTGGCCCCTGGCTGGTGGGGCTGGCCTGTCTCTGCCCCTCAGTGCACTCCGCAGGGTGGTGCCCAGGGCCCTTGCCAAGGGGGGCAGCTGGGGGGCAGGGAAGGACCTTGGTGGGGTCCTCCTCGGCCGTGGGCCACCTGGGAGAACATGCAAGACTCCCCTGCAGGCAAAGAAAACCAGGGTACAGGGACCCCAAAATAAACTCTGAGGCTCCCTGAGCTTGTGTGATGCTGGGAGACTTGTCCACAACAGATGCCTCTGCCCCTCACCTCTGGCTTGGGGCCTGTCTGGGGGGTGACCCGGGCAGGGTCTTAGGGTGAGAGGAATCCCCCTCAGTGGGCGGGGATCGCTAGGTCCTCTGCTGCTGAGGGGCTGTGGGGGGGACCACTGAGTTCCAGGCCCAGGGGCATCCAGAGATGTCCCTGAGGGTCACAGCTGTGCCCTGCCCGAGCTGCCTGCCTCCCCACAGGGAGGCCACACTGGGCCCAGCATTCGGGGCTGGTCTGGTGTATGGTTACCGCCATGCATCCCCAGGCCTGCCCAAGTCACAGCTGACTGCTCTGTAGCCGGGTGGGGCTGCCTCACCGAGTGGAGACAGGTGTGTTCCTTCCAGTGTCTCGACCCCAGCTGCTCTGAGCCACCACTGGTGGCAGCAAGGCCTGCCCTTCCTGTGGAGAAGAGATCAGGGACAAGGAGGCCACAGTTCTGGGTCCAGGGCGGGAAGGAAGGGACCCGGTGACGTGCCAGGCAGAGGGCTCCCCCTTGGCGTCCCTGCAGGGCAGAGGCCAGCAGCGGTGCCTGGAAGGCACCTGGGCTTGTGTGTGACGCCTCCCTGTGACCTGGAGCCCGCCTTGCCCGGGGTGACAGGGAGTTTCCGGGGCACGCCGCTCTTGGGGTGTCCACTGGGGGCTCCTGGAAACCACCGGCCCTGCCTGGCGCCTGCCTTCAGATGGAGGCTCTTAAATTGAGGGGTGATTGTCCTGACACGAAACGAGTCTCGGCAGCGTCCAGCACACTCGCAGGGTTGTGCAACCCCCTCTGTCTTGGTCCAGAACATCCCTGCTGCCCCGGGGAAACCGGCCCAGGAGCAGTCACTTCGTTTCTCCCCCAGGCCCGGGCCACGCCAGTGGCTCACCAGCTCCCTGATCTCCCTGTCCTGGACATTCCATGTCGATGGCGCCATACCGAGTGCAGCCCCGTGACCTGGCTTCTGTCACTCAACGTCATGGTTTCAAGGTTCATCCACACTGTAGCATGTGTCTGCTTCGTTTCTTTTTAGAGCAGAATAATACTCTACTGACATCTTTATTCCTCAAGCGAGACACATTGAGGTGTTTTTACTCCTCGGCAATTACCATTTTTATGTTGTTATTTTGAGACGTGTAGTTCAGGCTGGCCTTGAACTCACTATGTAGCCCAAGCTGGCTTTGAACTAGTGGCAATCATCCTGCCTCAGCCTCCCGAGTGCTGGGATGACAGGCATGCGCCCCACACCTGCCTTCCTTGGTGATGAATGATGCAGTGAACATTTGCACCAGGCCATGTGGATGGGCGTGTTCTTTCTCACAGGATAGAACGTGAGACTTGCCTGTGTTGCTTCCTGTGGCTGAATGAAGTGTCTGTCACGTGCAGGACCTAGACTGTCACCTGCCCCTCCGCCCGTGCACAGGTGGGATGGATGATCTGAAGACCCACGTCTGAGGACAGCGTGCATGGGTGACGCCAGTGTCCTAATAACACAACCTCCAGCCTTCTCTGCTCCTGACCGGAGGTGGCCAGCCCTTCCCTAGGACCTGAGCCTATCCCGGGCTGTGCCCTCCCAAGCTGCAGCGTGATCCCTGAGGTGGGGAAGAGGAGGAAGTCCTGCCGCCCGGGGGCTCCTGTGGCCTCCAGTGAGGACCGCCCTGCCCATCTGGTCTGGCGCTCGAGGCGCTTGCCCAGAAAACTTTCTTTTTATTGCTGTGACCCCTCTATTTCCTCCTCCCACCAAACTGCTGTCACTCCCGGGGCTCCCACTGGGTGCACTTTATCATCTTCCCTGGTCCCCAGCCGCTGGGGCATGGGGTAGGGTGGCTTGTGTCACCGGCTGGAGAACCACCTGGTATGGCGAGGCCGTGACTGGCCAAGCTGGTGTCCTTCCTTCCCGTGCGCCTGGGGTGCTCAGCGTCAAACTGGGAATTTGGTTTTCAGGGCCTGGGGATGTAGTGCGGTGGTGGCACTTGGCCAGCACACCCTGGCCTGGGGTCTGTCCCAGCCCTGCAGAAGCAGTGTGCTCACGGGGGCAGGCCGGCCCAGGCTGGTGCCTCTCACAGAGACTATTTTGGGGTGGCGAGACAGGGTGGCACTATAGGGACAGTGAGAGGAACTGGCGGGCGTTTGCAGCTAGGCCGGGGCGGTCCAGAAGCACACATGGCTGGTGTGGGAACATCTTCTGCTGAGACAGACGCAGCCAGGAGCAGAGTGCTGGGGGCGACAGGCCCTGACCGCATGGTTTCTGTTGAGGTTTCACTGAAGTCACGCACCAGCCCAGGACCCTCCTCACCTGCTGGCGTTTGTGCCCCGTGCCCTTGAAGCCAGGCTGAGGGCTTCCAGATAGACGGCCCAGTGCCGAGGATTCTGAGTGCGCTGCAGTTTTATAAAAGCCTGCTAAAATAAGACCACTCGGGACGTGTTCCCTCTCGGCTTTCCGTCACAAATGTTGACAGTAGGGAAATCTGGCCAGGTTTCTGTAAAATACGAAAAATGGGAAGTAGGCATGTGAGGAAACCAGGCCTGGTGCCCACCCCCGCATCAGCGCTTCACGGGGAGGTGCTGGGGGGACTGGGCCAGGGCATCCCCCACAGGCCAGGCGCCCACCCTGCTGCCCTAGAAAGTTCTTGCTGGGAACCGGCAGCCCAGGGTCACTTCCCCGCCGAACGGGCGAGGAGTGGGAAAGGGGTCCAGGAGGGCAGGGGGAGGGCACCCAGTGCTGCGGGCAGCGGTGCTGCAGCCCTACCCAAGGCTGCAGGCCCTGGCCAAAGGTGGACACGGGCTCTTCTCTGGACCTGAGGGACCCAGGAGGGCTTGAACCCCACCAGCGCAAGGTCATCTGGGAGGTAGTGAGTGGCCTGGGTCCCCAAGTAACAGTGCCCTGGGAGTGGGGGTCGCTGGGACAGAAGAGTCCAGACTGCCAGGCCCAGTGCCTCCCGAGGACTCATGCCCCCCCAGCCAGCCTCCCCCTGACTCACCCCAGCCCAGCTATATAGTTTAAAGGGTTTAAATGCAAATATTTCTCTTTTATAGATGCCAGCTGTCTCCAGAGAGCACAGTTCCTCGCTGCTCAAGTTTATTGTCCAATTAGCTTCCCATATCTGGGTACCGGAGCCTGGGGGGCTGCAGGGGTGGGGGCGCGCCTAGGCCGGTTCTGAGCTGCGCCGGGACCGTCCCTTGATGCAGCAGCATCTGAGTGGCGGGGAGCCCAGGTTGTAGGGCGGAGGGCCCGGGCACATGCAGCGGGGCTGGCTGGGGAGAGGCAGGGCCCGGGGCAGTTGGTGGCAGGGCTTTCTCCTCCTATTGAGCGGCAAGAAAGCCGGCAGCCCCGCACACACTGGTTCCCTTCTTCTCCCCTTGAGTGCCCCCTCCCCACCCGCCTTCCAGCCGTGCGCCTGGGCGTCCCCATTCACGGGGCTCGGCGGCACTCACAAAGCGAGGCAATTAGAATTGAAAATCTATGCAAAACAGCTGTTAACTGATTGTAAAGGAGGCAGCTGTGTGCGGGGCGTGGAGCGGAGCCAGGCAGGAAGTGCTGCTGGGCCCCGGTTAAGAGGAAAACTTCTAACCTCGCCCAGGGCCCAGGCAGGCCTTAACCCTTTCCCGCTTCCCCCTTTCCCCGGTGACCTTGGCTGCCCTTGGCGGATGGCTTTCAGGGCCTCCTGGCACCTTTGGAGGGGCAGCAGTGACGAGATGGGGCTGCTTTCTTTCTCTCTGTCCTGCACTGGATCAGCAGAGCTGGGGAGGACCCAACACTGCCTGGGGCTGGGAACTATCCTTGCTGAGACAGAGTCCTGGTCCTTGCTGGGCTGGGGAAGGGAGCCTGGGACTCCAGCAGTCACCGAGTGTCCCCAGGGAGCTGCCAAACTGGGGAGCTGTACCCTACATCCCCCATTACTCAAGGCCCCAGTGGTGCAACTGCTGCCAGCAAGGGCCAGAGACAAACTCCAGAGGTGGGGCTGGGAAAGCCTCTAGGAAGAGAGAAGATTTAAACTGGGCTTTGAAGAAGTGCAAGCCTTCTGGGCCGGTGAGAGAGGAGAGGAGAGGTGGGTGGCATCTAAGTGGCATGGGAGAAGCTGAGAGTAGAGGGCAGCTGGGCAGACCCTTGGGGTTGAGCGGACCCTGCACAGAGAGCCGGGGAACCCAGATGCTCAGCTCTGCACCCAGCAGCCCCTCAACCTGAACAGCTCCCTGGGACTCACGGGCCACCCTCATGGCCTGGCCCGGCGCCCAGTGAACTGGAAGCACTGAGACCTGCAGCCCTCGCAGTGGACCCTTGTTAATAATGGGGTGACAGGCAGGTGGTTACCTAGAAGCCTGCCAGGTACAGCAGCCTGTGTTGCACTTCCCAGCCCTTATCCTCCTGGCCGACTCCATACTGAAGGTCACCTGCTGGCTGCCAGGGTGATGCCCAGCTATAGGCTGCTGCTAGGGGCCAGCTACACGGGGATGCCACCCTGCCCCCCCCCCAGCCAGGGTTCCTGGTGTGTGCTTGCTCCCCTGGGTGATGCCCGAGATCAGGTGACGTGGACAGGAGGGTGCCACGAGGCCCCGTGTGCTGGGAGCAGCTGGGGGGGTGGGGGTGGAGGAGACACCGAGCACATGCCCGCAAGCCTGGTGCCCAGGGCCCATTTCCAATGGGGCCGGCACCTGTGCCAGCCCTTGGCAGCCCTGAGACCACTGTGGGTGGTGCCTGCATCCCGGGCACCTCACTTGGCTCAGGTCGGTGCCAGGACAGTGGTCGTCTAAGCTGTGGGCCTGCCCTCTTGCCTTCCTAAGGCCTGGCTGCCCCTAGGGTCCTGCCCGTCAGCACTGCCCTCTGCTGTCTGTCCCGTCCCCTGGGCTTTCAGGGGTGTGGAATTCTCAGTTGTTTCTGGGAAGGCTCTTGTGAAACAGCCCGAGGCACCATGTGTTTGTTGAGTGAATAAACGCCACCTGCCTTGGTTGGGGACGTGCCTTTCTTCCTGGCAAGCCCTCGTTCAGTCCCTGAGCCCTGAGGATTCTCGAAGTGATCTTGTTCTCAGCATGGGCTGTGGCACAGGTCCCAGGGCCCCAGATGGCGTCTTAAGGGACCGCCCCCACGGAGCAGATGCTCAGGCTAGGAGGGACTCGGCCCTGCTTCCTGCTCCGGAAGACCCCCGTCTCCCACCCTGGCTGGCTTGGGTTCAAGGGGGGCACCCGGGCCATAGCGGCTCAGGGACCTCCGGGCCAGACGGCTGCTGAGGGAGGCGCCCGCGGCCGGCCTGGACACCTTGGGCTTTCACCCCAGCCGCACTGGAGTGCAGAAAAAGTCCAGGAGTGGGCGCTGTGCCGGGGGGGGGCGCGGAGGAGGAGAGCGCCCTGGAGGGGAGGGAGCGAGGCCAGCCTTAGCCCCAGGAGCCCAGCGACCCATCTCGTTAGCAGGGGCGGGCTGCGGGAGAGCACTTCCAGCCTTGAGCTCGGAGGCCTTGCTCCCGGCTTACTAATTTCCTCGGCCGGGTGCACTGACAGTGCGTGCCATCCATCTCCCGGTGCCAGCCCGCCTGCCGGCCGCCTGCATTTTCTTTCTGGCCGGGACGCACGTAGCCGGCTCGCTGCTGCCCCCTGGCGGCCTCGGGCGCGCGTGACAGCGCCTGGCTCCCGGGGACGGCCGAGCCGAAGAGATTGCTTCCAGGTGTGAGCGGCGCGGGGTTGGGCTCCTGTTTCACCTGTGCGCACGTGACCTTGAGCACTCCTGGGCCTGGCTTCCTCCCGTCTCGCAACTCAGCGGAGCCAGAAGTGTACGTGGGAGAGCAGCCCGCTCTAAAAACAAGCCAGGCGACGTCTTTCTGGGGTCATCCGCAAATGGTGACGGTTGGCTGGCCGGGCCCTGCTCCAAAAGGCGGAAGAGCCTGGCCTCGCCCCCGCCCCTCGTCGCAGGGCCTCCCTGTGGGGAGGGAAATACAGTGGACGGCAGGGGACGCGGAGGCAGGCCCGGGTGTCGTTACCTGGGGAACCTGGCGGGGAGGCGGCCAGGTGCGAGATGCTGATTTGCATATGCTCCCCTCCCCCCGCAGCCTGGAATCCAGGTGGGAAAGGGACCGGGCCCGCCCCGGAGGTTTTTAATTTTGTTTTCAAGGCTCTGGGCCAGTTGGTGCTTTCTCTGTCTACCCCATCCACGCTCCCCCCCATCCCCCGACCTCGGGACTCTGGCAGGGGTTGGGGCGGCGTCCCCTGGCTCGGTGCGTCGCCGGATTGTGCAGGACACACATTTCTGGACCCCGCTCGCCCAAGGGTGCGTAAATGAAAGCGTGGACGGAGGCCGCGGCGGGGAGGGATCCGGTCGGGAGCGGGGGGCGGTCCGACCTTGCTGGCGCGTTTCCCTTTTCGTTTGTGGTCGGCCGGGAGCCTGCGAAAGGCGGGGGCCCGCGTGCGCCGCCCCGGAGGACGCAGGCGGGGTGTGCGTCCCGCTGGCGAGGGCTCCGAGCGCTCCCGGCTCGTCCGCGTCACCGGGAACAGATGGACGGGGGTGGCAGGCGCCCAGCGCGCGCTCCCGCCGCGGCCCGGCTGGCGCGGGGAGGGAGGGAGGCGGCGGCGGCGCGGGCTGGCACGAGGCCGAAAGTTGAGACCCCTAGGGTGGCGCTGGGGTGACCTCCGAGGTGCCGTTTCCCTCAGAGCGCGGGAGTGAACGCGGCGGCGAGGGCGGGCAGGGAGCGACCCCCGGGCCTCGCCGCGCGCTGGGACCTCCCCTTCGACCCCGCGCTTCCTGGGGTAGCGCGGCGCCGGGGCTGGGCTCGGGGTCGGTGGCCCGCCGCGCCGACACCCGCGGTCCCTCTGCGCCGCCCGTGGGTGCCCCGGAATTCCAGGACGCTCCCTGAGTCATCCCGTCCAGGGCCGGGGGGGGGGCAGGGGATGGGGTGGTGCTGCCCGGCCACGGATGGGTCGGGCCAGTTTCTGGAGGCGGTAGCCTCGCCTCTGACCGCAACCCCAGCTACTTAATGACCCCTTGGCGCTGTGGCGCCTCCGCGGACTCCCCAGCTCCGGGACCGAGCTCTTTAAAGAGCTAGCCCCACCCCCACACCTCTGTGGCCTACCCAGAAGTTAACTTGAAATGGGCTGGGGGCTTTCCAGAACTTTGGCTCCGAAGCAGAGGGTTCAGTGGTCTTAACATTCAGCCCCTCCGAGTTGGGGTACGCTTAGGCATGGGAGGGGGATTTGCACACAGCAGCCCCCGTACACACCAGGACCGAGAAAGTTGTCTTCCAGAGCCCCCCAAAGCGCCAGCGTTGTGCGTCCTCGCGCTCGGGGGCCGCTTGGGGTCGGCAGGGGCCTGCGCCCTTGCCGGGCGCGCCGTGACCCACCAGGGCTCACTCTCGGGGCCAAGTGGCCACCCTTGGCTGGGACCCGGGGCTTCCCAGCCAGGGGTCCCTGGGGTCCGCACCTCCCCCGGTCCGCCAGTGTCCTCGGCTCACCTGGCCGGGGCGCGTGGCCGCGCGGAGGGCGCTCGTCGGTGTGTGTGCGCGCGCGTATGTGTGTACGCTTGTGCTTGCGGCTGAAACCCGACACCTCCCGCTGGCGGAGGTCGGGGCGCCGGGAGCGAGCCGGGCCGGAGTGGGCGGTGTCGCGCTTGGGTGTGTCCTCGTGGCGGCGGCAGCAGGTGTTTCTTGGCCGGGGCCCCGGAAGCTCCTCCTCCCCAGCGGCCCGAGCCGCCGCCGCCGCCGCGCAGCCCCGGGTGAGATAAGCAGTTTAGACAAACACTGGGCGACGGTGGTTCCAGCATGTGTCGAGCGAGACGCAGCCGCGGGGCCCCGACATGAAAGGTGAGCGCGCCGCGGGGGGTGCGGCGGGGGTCCCCGGCCGCCCCCAGCCGCCCACGCGCCTCCAAGTTCGCGGTTCTGAGGGGGCGGCCTCCAACAGCCCGGGCAACTGCGCCCGAGTGTGCGCGGCCATAAGAGCCTGGCGGGAGGCGGCCAGGGCCTCCCCAGCGGGGCAGCCTGGGGGCCGGGGCTCAGCAAAGAGCTCGCAGGGAGGAAAACTTTGCGGCTGCGCCGAGGGGGCGGCTGTGCACCCCGCGGCAGGTGCCGGCGCGGGGGCTTTCTTGGCTCTCCCCTCCCCCCACGCGAGGCCCGGGAGGCGGGAACGCAGCTCGGGGTCCCAGTCCCGGGCAGGGCGCGCGCCCTTCCCCCGCGAAGATGGCCGCGCGCGGCGGGGGAGGCCCAGGCACATCCGCCGCCCCCTGCGCCCGCCGGCCTTCCTGCTCCTGCTCCGCCTGGATGCGCTCCCCACCCCCCGCCTGCCGGCCGGCGAGCAGCCGCCCGAGTGGAGCCGATTCAATTATATTGCAGCACCAGAGACACCTCGGCTGCGGGCCCGCCCGCCTCTCCAGCAGGCTAATTAAATTCCCTCCGTGGAGGCGTAGCAGGCGGCGGGCTCACTCCCCGCGCCGCCCACCCGGCTCCGCGCCTCCCCTCGGGGCGCCGGGGGGTCGGGAGCCGCCTGGGACCCGAGGGACAGGCTGGAGCCCGGCTTGTAATCCTGGGATTGGCTCCCGGCTGGGCAGGGAGATTTCCCGGGGCAAGGCATCGTGAGGTGCGCGCCCCGGCGGAGTTGGAGTTGGGGCCCGGGCGTCACCTGCGCGCTCGTGCAGGGGGGATGCCGGCGGGAGTGGAGTCCGTTTGGCTGGGGCAAACTCGCCTTTGTGTCGAAGTGCGTTTGAAACGCTCTGAAGCCTAGCTAGCAGGGCCTGGCCGGGCGCCTGAGGAGTAGGGTTGGGGCCGCACGGTTGGGATTTGGAAACAGAAAGGGGATCCAGGAGAGAGGGCCTGTTTGTAAAGGGGCTGGAACAAAAGGCTGGGAGTCCCCTGGAAAGGAGCAGACCCCAACCCAAGTAGCGTGCGGCCCTGTCTCCCGGCACCAGCCCGGCCTCTTCCCTGGGGTG